CAGATAAAATTCTTATCAACTTCGTCGGTAACGACTAAACAATAAGTTTGTTAAATAAAACTGACTCATAAAGTAATACGATACAATATCTTTATTTCAGGCATCAAGGACTTAAAAATTAAGAACATTGGCCCATAGCAATTTTTCCTAAAAACCTTTCCTAAAAATACTTTTTTCTTTGGCACGATGAACGTCTTCTCCTGACGTGCTTTTGTCCAAACGGGAGATGTAGAGCTGTATGATGGGTTTCATAACACGCACTGTTATTTTAGCGGTGCCTCGCTGATTACACACAGGTCTTGAACGACGTCTCTTCTTAGTTTCTTGTTGAGAAGACCAGTCCAGAAGGAAATGTAATTTTTATCCCAATCAAATATTCAATATTAATACTTTGGCCAGTTTTAAATGACTGTACTGAAAAAAAAATGTCCTACACCAGTTTAGCAAGTATCTTTACAAGTTGGCGCATTTATTAAGGATTCCAAAATGGTATAACACTAGCAAGATTATTAGTTAAATTAAGAAAAAAAGTTGTAAAAATGTTTTTAAAGAAACCCAGTTGTTAATAAATTTTTCTTGCCTGTCTAAAGTGATTTTTGTGCACCCAAGGTTTTAAATTTTAAACAGGCTCAAGCCTGTTACTTAAGATTCTAGTTTGAGTGAAACTGAGGGAACAAGTTGACGAAGTGTGAGCTAGAAAGGAATCCGTATGGGTGCGTGCTTGCGTGAATGCGCGCGTACCTACGTACGTGCGTGCATGCGTCCTTGCACATGTTCGGGCATGTGTGTGTGTTTGCGTGTGTATATAAAATAGGGTTATTATAATATTAAGGAATTTATGGGTGATCGCTAACAAACTATTTCTAATTTGTTTTGTGTTGTTAATTGTAATATACAGGATTGTAAGAGCCGTTATTTATAAAAAGGGTTTCCTGTTAGTTCTTTCCAGGACAGAGATTTTTTGCTGAATCAGTGGTACATTAAAGAAAGTAACTTTCAATAAGTATTATTTATAATCTATATTAAATAAAAAAGTTTCTGTTTCTATACAGTGGTGTGTGGCATAATAAACAAGATCGTTACAACGCCATCTTTCGGAAGCCATGCGACCTTTCTGATGTATCTCATAGTCGCCCATTGCGACACCCATGGGACTAAGTTTGGTAATAGATTCTCATACGGTATTATCTATTTTCATACATCCATCCATCCATTCATAACAACCTATAAAAGTTGCTAAACATAGGCCCCATAGATTAACTTATTTCCTGTAAACCAGTATTTAAGAGACTGTATATTACTCCTCCCGTCACTATACATTTATGAAGCGAGTATGTTTGTCTTTAAAAATAAGACATTATTTATTAAAGCGCGTGATATACTATATCCCCGAAACCGACGTGACTCAGAAAAACTAGTTCTAGATGTTATTCCCAGATTCGTTAAATACAACAAAAGTTGCCTAAATATTTGTATAAAAATATTTAATGAACTACCTAATGAATTTAAATTATTAAGCGATAGATTATTTAAGAAACATTTGTTTAATTGGTTAAAAACCGAATATTATTATGACGTAAAAGATTTTTTAGACTGTAATTAATATCGTTGATTCTGTATTTGCATGCTATTTACCATTGTTAGCGAAACACGATTGCACTAGACAAATTGTAAGATCTTTTCATACGGTGCTCCTTGCAAATAAAAATTTATGATTTATGACTCATGCACCCTCGGCAGGCGAGACGGCAACCGCAGATTTTATAATTTTGAGTTGCTATGAGGAAGATGTTGCCCATCTTCCATTCAGTTACCCTCTGTCGCCTTAAAAGGCGTAAGGTGACTGAAACTTAAGGATTAAAAAAACTAAAGGTGTCCTAAAGGACACCCACTGAACGATATTGGGCATTGGATATTCTTACGCCGCCATTGTAGGGTTAATTATTTGACTAAATTTCGGATTGCTTTATATAACTAAATAGTTATATAAAGCAATCCGAAATTAATCCGGTCAATAAATAAATCAAAACTTAATTATGACAAGTGCTTTAAGAAAGCACTTAATGCTGCAATTAAATATACGTACTCGGCTTTGAAGCCCTCAACTAGTGCCTCTTGTTATCCTTATATGAATTACGACCTCCGTAACGAACTATTATGGTAGGAATATTAACTTCGGGCGATGCCAATTAGGTACAAAACTGCAGGAAATGACCCTACCTATATCAATGCACTGGAATAGCGGATATATCTCCGGTGTGAATTCCTTATCAGCCGTAATTATATTAGTATGGAATTTAAGCGTTAAAATATTATGACAATCGGTATATGAAGCAGATATCCTACGTCCTCTCTTTTCCGAGAGAGAGGAAGATTTATATAGTACGTTACGCTGAAGTAACGTAGGTTAATCACAAGTTCCGTCCAAGTGAGAAGTCCCTTACAAAGTTTTTTTTTCATTTACCTCATAAAATTTCAATACGGACGAGTTTTATCGCAGAAATCGATTTAAAATCTTTCCAGAACGCAGACATAATTTTCCTAAAAGGTCCTATGGTATATCTTTTCGAATTTGAAATTTAATGTTCACACAGCAGTACTAGTTCCACACAAACACCGTACTCCCTTTAAACCTAAAAACAAAGGCAACAACAACAGATCTATTGCTGAATTCATGTACAAAATAACGTATTATGAATCAACACGTAATTTGAAAATGTCAGCAACTATCTACTAATCGAATAGAGGAGCTTACAAGTACAATAAGACAGGGGGATCGCTTATATCGCAGGTATATTCTCAAAGCAGTGATATTACAATTTCACTAGTGATATTATAATTGAACAGTAGATTATCAATCGACTTCATTTCTTACAATTCAAAAAGGTAAAATTAAGGTAAATTTTTAGCGAAGCGGGCTCGGGACTTAGGGCATCCCGACTCGGACTGGTTAGGGAAGAAGATGGCGGTGGCGAGGTCGTGGGGTCGAATGAGCGAGCGAATAGACCCCGCCATCTCCTTCGTGGTTATTTTTTTAAATGCCATCAGAAGTAGGAGCCCCGCGAAACAGGGCTCTGTCTACCGGGCCCGTTAAATTGTAAGAAATGAAGTCGATTGATAATCTACCTTTCAATTATAATATAACTATAGTGAAATTGTAATATCACGGATTTGATAATATACCTGCGACATATATAAATATATATAGCATTAGCACGAGCAAGTTTGATGCCGGCTGTACACGCTCGTCTCGTCGCCTCGCGTGCCTGTCGTCGTGTTGAGGCTCGACACGAGAACACACCATGTACACACTCGTTGTATCATTTGAACTCCGTATGCCCGCTGAGATGGACCTAGACGAAACTGTTGCTGCGTTTTGCCTTTGTGCTATTAGTTATTATAACTTTTTGCACATTTACCATAAAAATAAAATTATAAGCCACGGCGACGAAGTAGATGGTGGATGGTTTCTATTTACCGTAACTAAACCTTTTCAGTGACTATTACCGACCGGTTCTTTTGTTCAGATCACCAACCATCTGCATTTTTATTTTGTTTCCTATTTACTGACAGTTTATGATCTTATGTGTATTAAAACACAATTTGAAATAGGTCATTAGCCAAAATTAAATCACAAATCATATCGAAAAATTGTATATGGTCGGTGACCAAAACATAGGTGTCGGCACTTTGTTTTCAAAGTGACGAATACCGATCGGCTCCTATTATGTAGATCGTCATCTGCATTCTTATCTTGCTTCATAGATACCGACAATATGTTGTCTCATCTACAAGGTGTTACAAAAAGCGAGTAATCCCCTTAGAAAGTGATTCTATTGCTCAAAAACAAAAACTTCTTATATATGGGACCAATATCGAAATCTCAAATAAATATTACTTCTCCACACAAACTCACTAGTCTCGGCTGATCGGCGGTTTAGCATGGGGAAGCCATTTTGAGATTTCGATGTAGATCCCATAGAAAAAGTTGTTGCATTTAAGCAATAAAATCACTCCCTAAATGGATTACCCGCTTTTTTGTAACAACTAAACTTGTATATTGTTAAGGTTTTATAGTTTTAATTATAAGCAAAGAACAATAAAGTTATATTTTATTATCACTACATGTAAATATACTTTATTTGTTATTATTTCTACTAAAATTATTGATTTTCATTAAAATTTTGACAAAAGGTTTGTTAACTCTGAATACGCGTACTGCCCGCCCATGGGCGGGGTCGGCATGACAGGTCAGGATGGTCCTTTTCTAAAATCTAATATATCCGCAGGCCGCTTTGGTAACGAATCAAACATTATTCACGTTATTTGGCATACTTATTTAGGTTTGAAATCTGACCGCCCATGGGCTGGTTCGACATGTTAACAAAAGTTTCGTCCGCCCACCTATAGAACTAACCTACCTAATTAATGCACTGCTGTTCCAGTCTCGAGGGAGTTATTTCCTTTCACTCCCAATCTAAAGTATGCAAACGTAAATGGTTTACCTATAATTATACCTTTTTTAAGCCCGATACATATACCTACAACAGGACTTATTTATTCGTTGCCAGGAAGCAGTGTAAGTACGTACCTATCTACCTAATCATACTGCTATTCCGATTTTTAGTAGGGATGGGCCGAATATGGATTTTACCGAATACGAATATTCGGCCGAACGTTCGGTAAAATTTTTACCGAACCGGATATTCGGCCGAACATTATTCGGCAGGATTACCGAGGTACAGTCCTCGCGGCGTAAGCTGAGCTTTGCATTTATGTGAGTGCACATAGATAGTGTACAGTGGGATACGCCTTGAGGCGCAGCGCGTCCCGCGCATGGTTTAAACCGGTTTATACTGGTTTTTAAAACGCGGCCTGAGGCGCGGCGCATCCTCCACGCGTCGCTTCCCTGCCGCGCACATTCCCCACCCCCTTCACCTCTGGTACCGCTAGCAGATAGACGTGTAATTTTTTGTGGTTGTGTTCGAATTTTTTGTGAAATGGCTCCTACTGTAAGTAAATTGACTAAACGACCATTAAGCAGCCAAACAAAAGAAATTTTATACAAATTGAATACGTATTTCAAAGATTTAAACGACAAGGATATGTCAAGTGTCGTTACGTCGGCCCAATTGGTAGCGACATCGATGGGAATTCCGCTGTCAACTGTAAAAAAGGTTTTATTAGAAGGTAAATGTGCTTTGGAAGATGGAAGCAAATTTAAATCTCCGAAAAAAACAAGATGCAGGAAAAATATAATTGTGATCGTCGGGATGATAATAAAAATAAATAAAGTAATTAAACGCGATAAAATCCGTAAATAATAGTTTTATTTAATTGTGATCGATGATTTTGATAAAGCGGTAATTCGGAGAATACTTCATAACTTTCACATCACCGACAAACAGGTTCCCACTATGAAGAGAGTACACGAAAAGTTAAAGGCAGAAATAAATTATCCAGGTGCAATAACGTCATTAAGAAAAGAAGTATCTCTATTAGGAGTGGAAAAGGACAGAAGATAATCGCAGAATCCTTATGGAGAAACATGAAATAGGATATCTTCGAATAATGTTTCTCATTAAAATTGTCGAATATCGCGCTCAGGGCCGCCCAATCATTGATTTATATAACACTAGATCAGTAATAACCGCGCCAAAGCGTTGCCACTGCACATATGGCCACAGCCATATGCTTAGCTAACGTGAGTTCATTGTTCAATGTGACGCCGACAGAGTTGAGCCGCGAAAAAAATGGGTAAATGCGTAGTGAAAGAATGCTATTCAAAGTCACAAAAACGTAATAAATCAAGCGGAATCACTTTCAACACATAATTTTTAGTTTTGTTTTCATATAAACTTAAAAAACCTCAAATAATTAAATAAAATTATCGAATATTGCCATTTAGGTTCAATGTTGCCACTTTTCCGCATTTGTGATTATCCTACATTAATGGGAGACTATATAATTAATAGAGTAAGTTAATTTGTTACCTCCGATTTTAAATATTTTGGAAATTATAATAAAAACTACGTTTTAACTTTCATACAAAATAATTAATTATTCTTATTTTAGTTTATTCATGAATTATCTATTAAATATATTTTATTACCTACTTTATATTAATAATTTTATATTATTAATAATTTCATATAAATTTTATATTAATTGTATTTTATTACCTATTTTATATTGTTTGATTTATTAGTACCATAAAAATACGTTTTATTTTATCATTGAAACAGAAACAGAAACTTTGTTATTCAATGTAGATTATAACAATACTTATTGAAAGTCACTTTTTTCATTTACCACTGGTTCGCAAAAAAAACCTCTGTCCTGGGAAGAACCAGCAAGAAACCCAGCGGGACTATTTTTTTTCCAATAATAGCTTACAATTATGTTTACAATAAACAACACAAAACAAATTAGAAATAGCTTGGTAGCGATCACCCTTCCCAGGGGTTATTATCATCCATAAATTCCTTAATATTATAATAACCCTTTTTATACAAACTTAGCTTAATAACATTTTTGAACTTCGTGTATGACAAATTTTGTATATTTTCTGGGAGTTTGTTGTAAAAGCGTATACATCGCCCCAAGAATGAATTACTGACTCGGTGGAGTCGAGTAACTGGTACTACTAGGTTGTGTCTGTTCCTAGTATTTACATAATGAATATCACTTGTTTTCGCAAAACTACTTTTATTTTTGTGTACGTACATTACATTTTCATAAATGTATTGAGAGGCCAGGGTTAATATTTTAATTTCCTTAAATTTTTGTCTCAGTGACTCTTTTGGTTTTAAATTATATATTGCTCTAATGGCCCTCTTCTGTAAAATAAATATAATAGCAAAATACCATACGACATAATGCTATGGAAATAACTAAAGTAAACTATTCTAGCTGTTTCAACACTGGTAAGAGTTCTAATCTTTTTCACAGCATATGCTGCAGAACTAAGTCTGCTAGCCAGTTTTGATATATGGGGGAGCCATTGAAGCTTTGCATCCAGTGTGATTCCAAGAAAAATGGTGATATCAACAAGACTCAGTCCCCCCCCCCCCATTTAAAATTACATTAGTATTGACAAGTTTAACATTAGGAGTTACGAATTTCATACATTTAGTAGTTCCATTCAAATGCAAATTATTAACATTAAACCAATTGACTAACTTAGCTATAGCATTATTTACTTCGTCGTAATTTGATAACTGTCGTTTTAATTTGAAAATTAATGAAGTATCATCAGCAAATAATACTATATCATGGTTATCCCCTACTATGTAAGGTAAGTCATTAATATATACTAGAAATAGAAAAGGGCCGAGAATTGAGCCCTGAGGCACGCCCATTTGTACAATCGACCCGGAAGAACTCATACTATTAATGACAACTTTTTGCGTTCTGTTGTATGAAATAATTAATTTAAGAGCATCGCTTCTTACACCGTAGTGTTGAAGTTTCCTGATTAATGTTTCATGGTGAACACAATCGAAGGCTTTGGATATGTCACAGAATACACCCAAAGCATCCTGTGAATTCTCCCATGCATCAAATATATATTTAATCAGCTCAACACCAGCATCAGTTGTCGAGCTACCCCTTGTGAAACCAAATTGATTTTTATGAAGTAAATTATTTACATTAAAAGAATTTAACATTTGATCAAGAATAATTTTTTCAAAAATTTTACTAAGTGTTGGCAGTACAGAAATAGGTCTAAAATTAGCGGGGTCCAATGTACTACCAGATTTAAATAAAGATATTACTTTACTATGCTTCATTAAATCAGGAAACACACCAGATTCAATACTAGTATTAAAAATAATAGATAGTTGAGGTGCGATCGCATCTATTATAGACGCAATAACTTTAACAAAAATCCCCCACAGATCAGCGGTTCTCTTAATATCAATAGTCTTAAAATATTTTACAATATCTTTTGATGACACTTTATGAAATGTAAAATTCTTTGTACACACATTTACATTTTGTTTAAGTAATGATTCGGCGACGGCAGAAGAATTCAATGACTTAGTGGTTAAGATCGGAATATCAGTAAAATATTTCTCAAAAATCATTGCGACGTCCTGATCTGATTTAGTTAATTTATTGTTGAAACTTAACTGGTAGTTTGAATTGCGAGAGTTGACCTTACCAGTTTCATTTTTAATTATACTCCATGTCATTTTAATTTTCTTAGAAGCAGTCTTTATTTCGTTGTACAATGACTTAGCTAAGGAGCACACTCTTTTAAATATTTTGGAATATTTTTTTACATATTCCCTAAACAGCTTTCTAGTGCTAACGGTCATAGAGATTAAGCGAGGACGGACAGACGGACAGACAGACATGGCGAAACTATAAGGGTTCCTAGTTGACTACGGAACCCTAAAAACGTGTCAATGAATATGGACACTATAATGAGATTAACAAAGGAAAAAGTTGACGCGATCACTGTACAAGAGTGGAAAAATGTGTGTGCCATGCAGTTAAAGAAGAAAAAGCATTTGACGATCGAGACGCCGCTATTGACGGTTTATCGGAGCGATTCATTATTAACACAGGCTCTGATGAGTCATCAGACGAGAGTGAAGATGAAGATGCAATGAGCGGAGAAGAGTTATAATATTGTTATGTAGTTTATTACTGTTATTACTATAATTTAGGATAATCAAAATATCAGCATTAACTTTTAATAAAACATTGATTTGTTACTAACTGTACTTTTGGCGATCACTCACACAAATGCAAAGATCAGCTTACGCCGCGAGGACTGTACCTAACCAATTTATGTCGAAACTTGTTACCGTAAATCGCGCGGGATTACCGCCAGAGCCTTCCCCTTGCTCCCCCGCGACACCTGACATGTTACTGCATCATCTTTTGACGACTCCGTGGCGCAGTGGCTTAGCAATGAGTGGTAGCGCTGGGGGTCGTGGGTTCGAATCCCGCATGGAAGGGACAAGTATTTGTATGACCTACAAATAATTGTTCCGGATCTGGATGTTTGTCCTTGTGCAATTTATGTTTGTAAACTGTCCCCACGATACAGGAGAAAATCCTAGTGTAGTGGTAACGTTTTTTAAAAAGATAACTATCTAGTACTAAGCAAATTGCCGGCACATGCTTATGTTTTGACTATTTTTGAGAAAAAAAGTACTCTCAGTGAAAATTAATAAGTAGGGCCGATGCGCCGGTAAGCCGGCCGGGTCTAGATTTCGGCCTTTGGCACGAGATGATGCAGTAAATTTGATTTAATAACGGTTTTAATAAATATTATCGTACGAAATGAAGTTTAATGCATTTGTAAATAGTTGCACTATATCTGGTAACATTAAAACACAACACGCGATTTATAATAAATAATTTATTTCGACGCTGGCACAGGTGTCAAAACGTGTAAGATCGAGCAAAAAAAATAGTGGCGCGCGTTCCATTTAAAGGTTAGTTTCGTGCTGTATTTAATATAATTACTTTATATGGTGCCTATATTTCACTATATAAATAACCTGATACAGTTATTTGGCGTTGATTATTATAATACTTTGTTGATAAAGTTAATAAATTAAGTGGCCGAAAAGTGACACATAAAATTGTGCTATTATTTGGTTGGCCATGCGGCCGAAAAGTAGCCTAAGTTTCGCCTAAATACTTTGTCTCTTTCATTTATTTGATTACGTACTATAATTCATCTTTCTTACTTATATTGCATCGTAGCGTGCGTAGGCACTAACTTTCAGTTTTCGGCCACCAAGTACTGCAATTTGAATAGTTAGTGATGAAACAAAAATACCCATTTCGGTCGTGGCCGAAAACTGGATTGACTCTAAAATAATTATTTAGTTTTCGGCCAACTTAAAATCGTATGAAATAAGGTGGCGGAAAATAGAATGCTGTTTTAGTTAACGTTTACGGCCATTTCATGAAATGTTTCATTAGGTTTTAGGAAGAAGGTTCAATAAGAACTTTTTTTCGAGGTCTCAAAGAAATATAATTAATGGTTGAAATGGTTTTTTGAGTGGATTACTAAAAATGAGGCCAGAAAACCCTGGAAAGACTAATCGGTGATAATTGAAAAAAAAAGAATAAATATTTCTAAAAAAATAACTAACGCAGCCCTAGTTTCCACAAGAAAAGTTTAGAAACATTTTAAATCAACTTTGACAGTAAAAAACATAAAATTTGCTGTTTTTTTTTCTTTTTATTTTTAAAAACGTTACCCCTACACTAATATTTTCTCTTGTATCGTGGCAGTTTAAGTTTTTATTATAGTGAATGAGACAAGAAAATTGAAACAAGTCTACTCAGATCAATATTTTCCACATAGACAGGCCAACGAAGACTTAGTTCTACAATTAAGCAATAAGAACACTAAGTCACCAGAAAATCTGTGCAACACAGACCAAGATAAAATTATTCTAACTGACGATGTTCTGGTAACTATTTATTCATCTACCGATGCATTAGAATCATTAATCGATAACAAAATTTCAACATTGCATTTGTCAGGAAGTTATTTGAATATTGGTTCCTTAGTATCGTTATATGATGTTCTTGTAATCCAAACTCAAATAAGCCTACCAACAACAACAGTACTGATAATAACGACTCGAATGACCACGATGATACCACTATAAACACCGATGATAACAAACAAGATCTCTGAAACTTTAGAAAACGTGTGGTTTATATTCCAACAAAACAGACTAGTACACCTCTACAAACTAATGAAACATTGGTTTCAGTACTATTAAATAAAGAATATAGAGATGCAATAGAAAAAAATTTACTGTTAACAGTACACGTGCACCTTCTTCTGCAGCAATTTTATCTGCGGTGTGGTGAAAATTTTATGAAGATAAAGAGAAAGTTAAAATAGAGAAGTAAGAACTAAGAAACTTTGAAAAAGAAAAGAATAGAAAAAAAATTTAGAGAGTGCTAAAGTTTAAATACGAAATGTATTCTAAATACAAGAAATCTAAGAAGGAGAAAAGGGTAAGAGTAAATTGCGCCTTGTGTCACAATATTTTAATAAACGATACAGAAGAAGATCTGGAAAAAATATTGGATGTGACTTTTGTACCAAATGGGTTTGAGATGTACTGATGGTTAGAGATGGTAACAGATTTTGTTGAACTAACGTATGAGGAAGTACAAAATACTCGTAAATGAGAAGATTTGATTGCTATATTTAAAAGATTTTATTATTAGATTATGTTTCAAAGAAAAATGATTAATAACGGTTATTTTTTATATTAAAACCACCCCAAAAAAATGTTATGGTTAAAAAATCGCAAGCACCGATTGAATAAACTATTTGCACCGATTTCCCGAATCGTTTTGCCATTTTCTGATTTTACAACAACACTTTTAAGTTTGTACTGCCTCTTCTAATACAGTGGCCGAAAACTAAAATTCTTGTAGGCCGAAATCTAAAATTTGTGGCCGAAAACTAGCGTTTTGCATATTTTTCACGTCAAAAATTATTATAAAAAATAGATTCGTTTTGTAGCACCAATGAGTTATAAAAATGAAAACTACATTATATAAGCTACAAATTAACATTAACAGCACTAGGTCACTATAATGGCAATAATTTTTTATTGTACCTTAAAGCTGACAACTCCACTAAAAGGCCGAAAACCAGCGCAACGACCCTACCTATGTGATGAAAATTAGTGGCAGATCTACTATTTGGACCAATTATAGAGAAACTGACGACTATACCTACTGTAATGTTTCTTCGTTTGATTCCAAACAAAATTTTATCGAGCTTTCTATTTGCTATAATTGTAAAGAAATCTAGTGTCTCAAAAACATAATAGTTATAAAAGTAGATTTAACCCATAAATAAATATAGTACTTTCAACAGTAACATTTGAAAGACATTACTCAATTCGTACATTTACATATAGTGGATACTTTTAGTACCACTAAACGGTGGTTTAGCCGAATATTCGGTCGAATACGAATATTCGGTAAACCTGCCGAATACCGAATATAAATCGAATGCTAACGAATATTCGGCCCATCTAAATTTTTTAGTTATAGGCAGCTAGTCAAGCGACAAGTGGCAACCTTGTTTGTCTTACTAGTTTCCACAGTTAAGTAACGCATCGACAACAAGCGAACACCATGACATACTTAGGTGTGCAAAAACTAAAGTGAATTTTTGAAGTAATGTGTGATATTAAAGTGAAATGATAATTTATTTATATATTATATCTATTTATAATAGTTACAACAGTCGCAATTATGTGACCCCAGTTATCAGCGTCTACACTGCTTGTAATGAAATAAAGTTAATATAATAAAAATACAATGTCTCTATTTACGAAAGTTCGCATTTTAATTACCTACTTTATATACCCCTTGTGTAAGATTTCTAAATAAAACAAAGCAAATAATTTATTATCGTTTTATTGAATTTATTTGAAACTTCAACACTGTAATGCCAATGAGAAGACCTTTCCAATAAGGATGGAATGTTTAATCAACCTCCTCGATGGTGGGTCCGGCGCCTCCACCGGGGGCTGCACCAGCACCCGGGGCTCCGCCAGGGAAGCCAGGCATACCGCCAGGCATTCCTCCGGGTGCTCCGCCCGCGCTCTGGTACAACTTTGTGATGATGGGATTGCAAATACCCTCCAACTCCTTCTGCTTGTGTTCATACTCCTCCTTATCAGCCAGCTGGTTGGAATCCAGCCATTTGATGGTGTCGTTGCACTTGTCCAAGATGGTCTGCTTGTCGGACTCTGAAATCTTGTCCTTCAGTTTTTCCTCCTCCATGGTTGACTTCATGTTGAAACAGTAAGACTCTAGAGCGTTTTTAGCTTGGATGGTCTCCTTCTGTTTTTCGTCTTCATTTCTGTATCTTTCGGCCTCATTGACCATGCGCTCGATCTCCTCCTTGGACAGACGGCCCTTGTCATTGGTGATGGTGATCTTGTTCTCCTTGTTGGTTGATTTCTCGACAGCAGATACATTAAGAATACCATTGGCGTCAATATCGAAGGTGACCTCAATTTGTGGGACACCACGTGGTGCAGGTGGGATGCCTGTGAGTTCGAATTTACCAAGGAGGTTGTTGTCTTTTGTCATGGCACGCTCACCTTCAAACACTTGGATGAGCACACCAGGTTGGTTGTCCGAGTAGGTGGTGAAAGTTTGAGTCTGCTTCGTTGGGATGGTAGTGTTACGCTTAATAAGGGTGGTCATGACTCCACCGGCGGTCTCGATACCGAGCGACAATGGGGTGACGTCGAGCAGCAGCAGGTCCTGGACCTCCTCGGACTTGTCACCGTGCAGAATGGCAGCCTGGACAGCTGCGCCGTACGCAACGGCCTCGTCTGGGTTGATGGATTTGTTCAGCTCCTTACCGTTGAAGAAGTCCTGCAGGAGCTTCTGTACTTTGGGAATACGAGTGGATCCACCGACAAGTACGATGTCGTGAATCTGGGACTTGTCCATTTTGGCGTCACGGAGGGACTTCTCCACAGGCTCCATGGTGGACCGGAATAAGTCAGCGTTCAATTCCTCAAAACGAGCTCTGGTTATGGATGTGTAGAAGTCAATTCCCTCAAAGAGAGAATCTATTTCAATGCTAGCTTGAGTTGAAGAAGACAGAGTCCTCTTTGCTCTCTCACAAGCAGTTCTAAGCCTACGGAGTGCCCTCTTATTGGTGGTGAGGTCCTTTTTGTACTTCCTCTTGAACTCCTGTACAAAGTGGTTAACCATGCGGTTGTCAAAGTCCTCACCTCCCAAGTGAGTGTCACCGGCGGTCGATTTTACTTCGAAGATACCATCCTCGATGGTCAAGATGGACACATCGAAGGTACCGCCGCCAAGGTCGAAAATAAGTACATTACGTTCTCCACCTCCCTTTTTGTCAAGACCGTATGCAATCGCAGCAGCAGTCGGTTCATTGATGATACGGAGAACGTTCAGACCAGAAATGGTACCTGCATCTTTTGTGGCCTGTCGCTGTGAGTCATTGAAGTACGCTGGAACCGTAATTACTGCATTCTGCACCGTTTTGCCAAGGTAGGCCTCGGCTGTTTCCTTCATTTTTGTAAGCACCATTGAGCTTACTTCTTCAGGGAAGAAGGTCTTATCTTCACCCTTGTATGATACCTTAATCTTTGGCTTGCCACCATCACTGACAACTTCAAAAGGCCAGTGTTTCATGTCAGCTTGTACGGTGGCATCTTCGAATTTGCGGCCAATAAGACGTTTTGCATCTGTAACAAAAACCAACAATTGTTCAAAACAAATACTTAACAAAAAAATATTTTATCCTATCAGATACCTAACTTCAGATTATTTTTATCATTCAATATGTTCAGAGACTCTAGTCTAGTATATTGGGATATCATCATGAAAGTAATTTTTATAGAATATGCAATATAATGAAGTCTAAAGTATAGTTCATTTTTTACATAGTAGAGCCACACTGCAGCTATATAGTTGTTAGTTAACACCAATGGGTCGGTTTGACCGGGGCAGAACCACACCTCTCACAGAATACCAGCATGCTGCTGTTTCGTATGGTGAGTGAGTAGGAAACTGGAGACCCTTTCTACTGGAATCAAGGCATTCCATATTAGTCTTCAGGAGTGACAACGCATTTGCATTTTGATTCTTGATTGAAGATAATGCCTATGGGCCACAGCAACCACTTACCATCAAGTTGACTGTGCTCATTGGTCAAATAATGTTATAAAAAAATATGGATGTTTACTAATTAAATTATTATTATAAAGAATCCTACAAATTTCAATCAAATTATAATATAATGAAGTGCAATAGACAATCCTTAACATCTCTGACATTGAAATTAAACATCAATTTTACAGATTACAATGTAAAGCAACCTTGTTTTTCTACGATACTATTTCCTCATAACGCTTTACGCCTTGAAGAGCCGGGGTAGCTCAAATGGTTAACACTCGCTGTACAGAACGCGAGTAACCCGGGTTCGATCCCCGCCAGCACCAATGAAATTGTTAATTGCAATTTTAAGTGCTGATTTGCCACGTGCTCGGTAGTGAAGGAAAACATCGTGAGGAAATCTGCATGTCTGAAGAATAAGAAAAAAAAATTTCCGAGTACATGTGAAGTTCGCATTGGGGCAGCGCGGCGGACACTTCCTTTCCCTAAAAACCTCGGAAATGAGGGAAGGCCTGTGCCCAGCAGTGGGACGTATATAGGCTGTAATTTTAACTTTTACGCCTTGAACAAAAAGAATTACAGTAAAAAAAAAAACAATATTACTAGTTATTTAAGAAAATCATTTATAGCGATTTCTAATTATCACATCTTGTTAGCAGAGGGTGTAATATAAGAAGGTATACTGTATTCCAAATGTTGCATTACGTAATTTGGCTCTTGGCAGCTTGGTAGCTTAAACACTAACAATTTTTTCGCTTCAAAATCTCAAAAACGTGATTCTGTATAATTCTTTATGTTTTGAATAGGGTTACCATGTTTATCGGAAATTTCAAAAATCCATTAAACTAACAACGAGTAGTACAAGTATAAGTAGAAAAAACAGTAAGAGCCAACCGGGTGAGTAACCACCACGTGGTAGTGATACCCAATCGTTTGCGACTGACGCGAAAATTTTACTCACCGAAGATGGTGTTGTTTGGGTTCATCGCCACCTGGTTCTTGGCAGCATCTCCGATGAGACGCTCGGTGTCTGTGAACGCGACATATGAGGGCGTGGTCCTGTTGCCCTGGTCGTTGGCGATAATTTCTACCTTTCCATGCTGGAATACACCCACGCATGAGTACGTTGTCCCCAAATCAATACCTACGGCTGGTGCTTTGGCCATCTGTAATAGAAAACATGGTTAGTATCCAAAAAAATATGGCGGAACAATGAAACGGTTAAAAAATCGCGGGAACGCTTGGGCGCGAACTCAATGAGAACATTCTCGAATAATTTTAACAGCATTTTGCCTATATAACCTATGAAGCCCATCAGTTTGATATCTATATGAAATCAGTGTGACGATTAATGTGAAATTTTATGGTCAACTAATTTCAAACTGAATATTGACCACGTGTTTAAAATAATAAATAGCAAGGATTCAAATGATAAATCTGTTTAAATCTAGTTTCAGCAATATCGAAAACTGGATTCTAGAAAGATGACTAATCAGGAATTAGGAAGTCCAATCTATTGTGCACACGATAGGGCAAGTACTTCTAACTTGAATCAATATTTATTGAAGGAACTAATAAATGAAAATTAAAGAAATAAACCGATCAAAAGGATACTTACATTGTTTCTTTTTAGCTTATCCTTTGTAGACTTATCTAGTAGATCACTCAGCAACGGTGCGCGATTGACGGTTTCGTGTCACGAAATAAAACTGAAGCGGCACTTGCTGTCTTCAGAGTTTTATGGACGCGCGTAATCACTCGACGTCACCAGAGTATTCTGGAATATTCCTTTCATACAGCCAATAGAAAACACGCGTTACCAACGTTCAGTCCTGCTATTGGTTGAAATCATATGCTGTAGGGCGTACCGTATTGCAGTATTATAATATATGCAGTGTTGTCCGTGTATGTTATCGATTTTTCTGGGTATATGAGAAAGAAGACAAAGGGGTTATAAAATAAACATTAATTACTTTAAGGCGCAACAAGTATATATTTAATATATATGTTTTTAGAACATGGTATGGAATATTATTTTACAATATAGTTCCCTGTGGAAATTTATTGGGAAGGGCTATTTCAACAGTAGATTCGTAATAGTTAACAATAAAGATGTTTCAATATCATGATTTTGGAGATTAATTAAATATTAATACGATTAGTATTTAGAGTCGACCTGAAAATAAAGCTTTATCGCCTGAAAAAAAAAACGAAATTCGTTATCAATAGTATTTACAGCTGCAAACGAATACTGAAACTTAAAATTACAAGTTAATAAAAAAACTGTGGAGTAATAGGTTGTATTTATTTTTATATAATATATAGAAACTGAATAATAGTATGTATAAGTGTTTATATTTTATTATTAGCTGTTTGTTATTTATTGTTTTATATCATTATATTATTGTTTACTGTGTGAAAATAAAAATAAATGTTTCGTTCGTATTTAGTTTCTATAATCGTCCAAATAAAAACTTGTTTGTTGAAACATGTACCTTAACTAAGAGTAACGATATTAGGGTAACCAAACAAATTTTGCAAAAAAAAACATTGTGTTGTGAGTTATTTTAATTTATGTTTCTAATTCCCCTTTTTATTCCCATGATTATTAACTTGTTCTGCTATTAATAGACACCATTTAAGTTATATCTATTAAAACTTTTACAATATATACTTTAAGTATATAAATTAAAAATAAATGTTGGCACAGAAAATCGTGAAATCTTCAGGTTAAATATATTTGTTAAAAGGTGACTTATGAAAATAATGTAAGTCTACGTCATAAAAATTATATTAGACATTGTATATCAATATGATTTATGAAAATAATGTAATTCTACCGTTCTACGTCATAAAAATTACATTAGACGTTGTTTATCGATATCGATTCGATTTATTGTGAGGATTCTCTATAAATTTTTTTTTTCATTCATGGTACCAATGGCTATAAGGCCTTCAGCCACAAAAACTGCCACAGCGCTAATAATATGAAAATCAAATCAAAGTTTGAACCCGGACGTAAATAAAAATTCAGTAGTCAAGTTAGTAAAATGTTAATAAATAGGTAATAATATCGCAATACCACACTAGAAAAAACATTTCTTCATAAAAATGCCACGTTATGTAGATAATCATTGACTAAAACATGCAGATGTTCCATTACAAAGCCGTAAAACAATGTACGTGCGTTTGCACTGACGCGATTTTCACAAAATAACATGTTTTAAACACTGTTTTCTGTCAATGTATCAAAAAGCGTTTGCATAGCCAAGGAACATGTTTTAGTGAAATGTGTTTGACAGTTTATTGTACATTACATACTATAACTATATTATATCTATATATCTGCAGAAACAAAATGTTTGAAAACAAATTTGTAGAAATATTGTTATGTTGAAAGATAAGTTTGACGTTTTGTATTCATTTCGGATAGAGAATTTTTAACAATAATGGGTTCAAGTGATGAAGAGGTGAATAATGGATTCAAGTGATGGGTGTACTGTACATTTACAACAAAAAAGAAAGAAATCGAGGTTCTGGACGCGCTTGCAATGTGTTTGACAGTGATTCGCAGTGGAATACGGGATAGAGACTAAAAACTGTGCTGCATGACGAATAAAGAAAATTAAAGAAAGTGATACATGAGAAAATTCTACCAATTGCGTAATCACATTAAAACATTAAAAGCCAAAATTGTATTAAGTGTTTAACTAATGAAAATAAAGTAAGTAAATTATCCACGAAAATAACATCAACATTTGCGCTGTAATTACAAGTTCAAATAAGAAATTGAAAGAAAAAGCTACATGACATATGAAAATCATAGCCATGTGGCTTTATAAAAGGTCACCCACCTGTTGCAAGCTACTCATGCTCTATTAAAGGGTTAACTGAGTACTCTTTGCTGTTGGAATCAATCAACCAGTTTTTAAGGCCTGGCAGATTTTTTAAATACTATAAAACCATCAGACAATCAATTTATATTGATATTTGATGAAATGTCTTTAAAAAAATGTGATGTATAATCCAAAAGAAGATTTGATTGAAGTGTATTAGAATCATAGTACACAAGGAACATCTTCAGTCATTGCATCATATGCATTAGTATTTATGATTGTTAGTACTAGGAAGACTGAAACAGCCCATTGCCCACTATTTCTCCAATGCATTTTTAACTGCAAATCAACTTACTGTACTAATAAAAGAGGTAATTATTAGTACTTTGTATGATGTTTCATTTTATTTCAACAGTTGAAAAAGTAAAGTTGATTATAAAAGCTCAACGGTTGTAAAACATATTTAATTTTTGATTTCAGGTCTTGAATCAGTCATAGCTGGCATAACTTCCAGGCTCTCAGGCTGGGATGAATATATCTGCAACAGTGTGTGACATGGACGGAGTAAATTTACAAGTTCTCTCTATCTTGGGTGCAAATGTGCAACGACTATATTTTGCATTCCATAACAAAGAGATAGTGACCCTTTGATACGCCATATTTATTACATAAGGGATCTTGCAATGGGGTTAATGCATTTCACATTGAAATAATTTTGTTTTGCAGAAGAGAGCCATGAGAGCACTTTACAACCTAAGTCCAAAGGAGTCTTTTCAAGAAAGTTTTTTAGAAGTAAATATATTAACTATAGCGTTTTAGTAATTTTACGAAAATTTGATGTATGTTTTTATTAATTTTTGTTTTTTGTTTTTGTTAATTTAATGTACACAAAAACAACAATAGTTTTTATTAAAAATAGTAATGTATATTTCTGTAAATACTAGGAACAAGTACAAGCTATTTATATCAGTTATTCCACTTCAAAGAAAAAGTTTTCCTTCGTGGGGCAAAGTATATGCTTTTATAACAAGTCATAAAATATACAGCCTATCAAAAACTGAAAATTTTTAACTAAGCAAAGTTATTCAAAATAAGGTTATTACAATAAAATATACGATTGATAAACCCCTGGGAATGGGGTGATTAATGTTGTTTCTAAATGTTTTAATATTTAATTGTAAAACAATATATTCTAAATAACATTTTGTTTAAATGGCCCGCTTGGACTTCTTGCTTGTTTTCTACATAGGACAGAGGCTTTTCCCAAACGAGTAAAAGCATTAATTACTTTATGAGTTTTGTAATCAAGTATTCTTTAATAAGTTTTGTAGTTTTGAATAAAATTTATTCTGTTTACGTCGTAACTGCAAGCATATAATATAGAGACAAAATTTTAATTAATTTAAAGTCGCATAGACTAGCACTAACATCAAGATAATAGATAGATAGACAACCAATTATTATCAAAATTAAATTATTATTTGCTGGTTTTACTCTGGTCTTGTGTACATGAGCTTATTTATTATTTAACTTGTTTTTGATTCAAATATTTCTATCTTGGGTATTGTAAACACGCTAGGGTTTTTGATTGTGCATGTTATTATCAATACAATTCATAATTGTAAATCTTCTATATTATTTTATCCTTTTTACATAGGTAATTGAAATATTGTAGTCAGTATTGATTTTTATTTTCCTTTTTTTAACTCATCTAATGACTTAATAGACAGAACTAATTTTGCTAAAGAAATTTTGTCTCCCTTTAGTGTGTTCTAGTATTATGCAAGTTTGAGAAATGTAATTCTGTACTTAGAATCACCTGCTATTAGGCGGCCAGTATACATATACTAGTCGCCGCGGCGATGTCGGTTGCATGGCTGTCACATTCCGTCTGGACTGTAATACTAAGCCTGCAAGACCCAAAATTGTAGGCTTAGTATAACAGTCTTTATAACACCCTTTGGGTTCAGACTGATAAAATGATAAATATTGTTGCCATTATATACATATTATATTATATTTTTCAGAGTAATCAAATTCGAAACTTAAGCTTAAGTTCATAAATAATGATACAATGTTATTGCAGTTTTTTAAAATATCGGTAAATAAAGCTTCTTCTTTTATTTGCAACTATCCCAAATTGAATCCGATTTATGGGCAACAACGTTTTTGCCTACTGATCGACTAACATGTTTCAAATATAAGCAAGCTCTAACTAATTTTTAATGTCTTTATCTTACGAGGAAACTGAAAAATTATTAAATATAGTTAAAAATGCAAACTGTTAAGCAAAATAATGACACACACTCACTCCTTTCACACACACACACACACACACACACTCACACTCGTATACTACACACTGGCATCTATGTATTAATTTTACACTTCTAAACTTGTAATATTGGTTTGTGATTAACAAATCTCCAATATTAAATGAACATTTTGCGTATTATATTTTATTGTTTTAAGAAAATGAAATATTAACTGAGTCACTAAGTTTCAATTATTTTTATGTGAAATTTAGAATAAGTTCTTGTAAATATTTACTATAACATTTGGATATTAATATAAGTGTGTGACACATTTATAGAATATCTCTCCTGCCTTACTCTTGTATCATACAACTAAACATTTAGCTATAATAGTATTGAGCCATTTGTCGGATTAGAACTAGCACATAGCTAATTATTTACTTCTTCCTACTTTTATTCATTTCTTGATTGTGGTAAAATTGTTTTTATGTTTTTGTTTTTATATTTGATATGTATTTAATGGGGAGGGCTTAGCAGCTGTAACACAGGTCTGTGACCTAGCACGGTTGCTAAAGATACCT